TTTCCCGGAAAGATGCCACGGTGGCAAGCAACAGAAATCCTGGCCGGAACTGGCTTACGTCCAAAGGAACGGACAGGCCAGTGTTCAGGGAGGGATGCCGACGGAGAACTCAGCGATGCCCCCGGGACTCGGCTTCCCATCTTTCTACTCTGCTGGCCTCTCACTCTCATCAGGTGCAATTCCCCCGGCAGCTGCTGGCAGGACAGCTGGTAAGAAGCAGGAGAGCGAGCAGTGCCCACAGCTTGGCTGTGTCTCTCGGATCCACACCATCCTCAGCACAGACAGGAACTCTGGCGAAAGGATCAGGGCACAGTGCTTGCCTCCCAGCCCTGGCTCTGCCATCCACTGGCCTTGTGACCGTAGGTTAGTCCTCCAACTCTCATCAGCTTCCTGGGACTTTTAGGAAAAATAACCAAGTTAGTATCATGACCGAGAAGGCTGTATCAGACCTGAGTCGCCCCCCGCGTCCCCCCTCCACCCTCCCGACCCCCATCCCCGCATAACTGAAGCTCAGCTGGGCTGAATTAACTTTTAAAGAGAGAAAGAAAAAAAGAGGAACTTAAGAGGATGTTGCTGGCTCGCATTTTCTCCAGGAGTACCAGGAGAAGGATTAGGGGCTGACGGCCGGGACTAATTCCCCAGACCACGCCAACGGTCAGGCACAGTGAGGGTGTCCCGGCCACGGCCCCGCGCTCCACCATGAAGGCTTGACTGCGTCACAGATGGCGTCAGCTGCTGCACTGAACAGACACCAGAGCCTCGGTGGCTGAAACAAGGTGTCCCGAGAATTTCTTTTCCTCCCGTGAAGGTCTGAGTCCTGCTCTCTGACGTCAGTGGGTTCTTTCTCGCTGCAAGTTGTCGGGTCATCACGTGGGCTGTGGTCATTCATCCCTCTGTCTGCATCAGACCACGGGAGGACGCAGAGCGGGGGAAGAGGAGGCCCACCCTTCCCTGGATGGGCACACGTGTCCCTTCTCACATCTCATTGGCCAGGGCTTGTCACATGTACTCCAGAGCTGCGATGGAGGCTGGGAAAAGTGGTCTTAATTCTGAGTTGCGATGGGCCTGGTTAAACACTCTATTGCTATGGAAGCGAGGGGGGGCACAATAAGCAGGATCTCCCTCCCTCCATTGCAGTGGTTCTCAACCTGTGGGTCGCGACCCCTTTGACGGTCGAACGACCCTTTCACAGAGGTCGCCTAAGACCATCCTGCATATCAGATATTTACATTACGATTCATAACAGTAGCAACATTACAGTTATGAAGTAGCAACAAAAATAATTTTATGGTTGGGTCACAACATGAGGAACTGTATTTAAAGGGCCAGAAGGTTGAGAACCACTGCTCTATTGGCTGAAGGACTGAACAAACCAGTGTGCCCTCCTGCACTCCAGGTCCTCACCTGCGAATGGACACAGCTCCGAGTATAAAACAAGGCCTCATACTATGTGGCAGGCACTGTCACCTGTTTTAATTTGTTTCATCCTCCCAGCAGCCCTGTAAAGTAGGTGATTATCCCCATTTTACAGAAGAGGAAACTGAGGCACAGAAAGTTAGCAGGCCAGCGGCAGGCGAGTATTGAACGGCAGGGCTCTGACACCAGCACATGGTAGGGACTCAGGCAGCTCCCTTTCTGCACGGACTCCCACACGCTGCGGAGTGGCTGAAGTAACAAACAGCTGTGGAAGGGCCCAGAACCACCTCTGTTCTTGTCCCCACACCCTCCTGGGAGCAGCTCCCCAAGGCCCCGCCAGCACAGAGGTCCACGCTTCCATGGGACCTGCACCTCCAGAGTGCGGCCACGTGGCCCAGTCCACTGCAGCGGCTCCCACGGACACACAGCTGGGTGACATGTGCCTGCTCCCTCCAGGGCCGGCCGCAGGCCAGAAATCCGGCAGGCACGTGCTCCCCAGGCAAGGACAGAGGGGCATCCAGCCCTGCTGGGCCGCGAGGATGTCCAGGAAATGCTAAAACATGCCTGGGGTGACTTAGCCAATTTTTACATCATTCTTCTCAAAGAAAACAAACTGTTTTTATTACAAAAGGGATACACATTCATACACGTAATACAAGGCAGGAGGATTGCCCAAAACCCCGTCAGCACTGGCGCTGGGTGCATGCCTGCCCGGGCGCCTCACTCTCCGCATCAGACCTCGCTCTTGACTGAGAAAACACATGGCCGTGGCATCCCGGATTCCGTGTGAGCAGCCCTCCGTGACTTCTGGACGCCAGAGTGACGGTTTACATGTAAACAGAACAGGTCAGCTGTGACGACATCCGTCACCCGGGCGATGTGTGCCTGGTGGGGACGGGTGCCCTGTTCCCTCCCACTAAAATGTGCCCGGTGCCCCCTGTGCCCTAGGGGAAATGCAGAGCTGGCTTAGATTCCGTTCCTGTCCCCCGTTCCTAACCCCACCCTCCGCATCTTACCACCCAGGGGTCAGTATATGAGACTGGTATTTTGCTTCTAACATTTTTTTAGCACACTCCATGTGTCAGGCATTGTTCTAAGGATTTTACAAACATGAACTTGGTTAATAACCACCTTAGGGGTAGGTACTCTTCTGATCGGCATTTTGCAGATGAGGAAACTGAGGCCAAGTGACTTGCCTGAAGTCATAGAGCAAGTAAGTGGTGGAGTCTGAATTCAAACCCAGGTGAGGGGCTCTGGGGCCCGTGCCGGCGGCAGCATGAACACAAGCAAACTGACGCGGGATGTGAGGACCATGTTGGAGCGGCCTCACCCACGGAAATATGGAAAGACGGGAGGTGACACTTGGGACTTAAGTTCCTACTAAGCCACCATGTTTTTGTTTTGTGGGGTGGGGGGTGGGGGGGTTCGTGTGTGTATTTTTTAAGAAACCCAGCAAGAAAAAATAGGTATGAAGCAGTGGTTCTGAACCCTCGCTCTAGGTCAGTAGTTCTCAGCCTTGGCTGCACATTAGAATCACCTGGGAATCTTTTTAAAATCCTGATTTCTGGGCCCCATCCTCCGGAAATTCTGTTTCTTTGTTATGGGGTGAGGCCACAACATTAGTAACAAAGAAACAGAATTTCCAGAGGATGAGGCCCAGAAATCAGGATTTTAAAAAGCTTCCCAGGCGATTCTAATGTGCAGCCAAGGTGGAGAACCACTGATCTAGGTGAAAATCACTGGGGTGCCTTGAGAATTGCTGCCCATCTTCTAACTCCCTTCGTCCGGGGCAGGGCCCAGGAATCAGTATTTTAAGACTTCCCAGGTGATTTCCTCTGTGCAGCCGGGTTTGAGTGCCCCAACTCCGGGAAACAGTCTCTCTCCACACATCCTAGCTATCTGACCCTGGGCTATTTGCTTAGCCTCAGTTTCCACATCTGTGAAATGGGGACGCAATGCTCTGATGAGTCTGAGAAGCCAAATGGGATGTGCTCGCCTTGGAGGGGCTTGGGACAGACTGTCGGTCGTTTTAAAGCACACGCTGCTCAGCACACAGGCAAATTTCAATGCCGCTTTGCTCAGGCTGCCGTGACCAAGCAGCCCAGATCATCTCGCAGCCCCGGAGGCTGGAATTTGGAGCCGGAGGTGTCAGCAGGGCCGGTTTCTCCGGAGCTCTCTCCTTGGCGGGTCGATGGCTATCCCTTCTGAGTCTTCACGAGATCTTCCCCTCTGTGCAGGTCTGTGTCCTCATCCCATCCTATACGGACACCAGATGAAATGAATCAGGGCCCACCCTGATGACCTCATTTTAACTTAATCGCATCTTTAAAGGCCCCATCGCCAAATACAGTCACATTCTGAGATGCTGGGGGCTAGGAGTCCAATGTGTGAATGCTGGAAGACACAGCTCAGCTGGATCCAGAAGGATCCGTCCCTACAGACAGCACCTGTGCTTCCTGGGGTATCATGTCCCCTAAACAGGGCACGGTGGGGCCGGCAGTTTCCATGTAGTTAGTGAGCTAATGTGAGCTCTGATCTGAGCTCCCCCCCGCCTGCCCACCCACCACCCTGCCGGCCCTGCGAGGGTTAATCTGAGGTCTCTGGAGTTGGGTGGGTTTACTGCCCCCAGACCTTTATCATCTCACCCTGCCGGTGAGGGCTCACATTTCCCACTTAATTACTTGTCCCGCAATCAGAAGAGATAGCCGTTCTGTGTTGAGTTGGCTGCAGCTGTGAACTGTTTATTTACTTTTCCTCAGCCCGGGAATGGCTGTAATTTAAAGGTTCAGATCTCAGCTACCCTGCCTGGTGCAAACGCTGCTTAAACACTTCCATATTGCTGGGGAGGAATGCGCTGGACGCTGCCCCCACCTCCCGCCCGGACCGGCCGGAGCGCTGGGAAGGCAGGTGTTCCTGGTTATTTATCAAGGCTGCAGGGCCGGTGAGGGAGCCAGCTGCCCGGCCGGCACTGCCAACTCTGCATCCACCGGAAGAGCTCGGCGCAAAACCTGCAGCCATAACGGGAGCGAGGACCTCCCCAACCCCCCGCCACACTGTCCCTGCCACAGTTCAAGCCAAGGCTCTCTAATTCCTGCGCCAAATGGTGTAATTACCACTTAAGTTGTCAAATGGCATCCAGATGGTCTTACCTTTCACACCAGCGGTTTAATAAGCTTTTAGGCGTGACCTTTGCAGCTTGTCCTCCACCTGCACAGCCCCCTGGTTTGTGAAATCTGAGCCCACAATTAGATCTGATAATGAGTGCCCAGGCGACCAGCCTTGAACTCTGCAAGCTCGCTTCAAGGGGTGCCCAGCTCGTCACCCCATGCCACTGACAAATGGCATGTGTCCACCACAAACGGAGGGGCCCGAGCACAGCCCGGAGGCCTGCCTGGGGAGATCACAGAGGCCTGAGAGGCTCAAGAGCGCATCTGGGGGGCCAGGCAGCTCTGGGCGGGCTGTTTCAAGAGCTGAATTCTGGCAAACCGGCGGGTCACACCCATCCGTGTCCTCCAAGGCCTGCCTGCCCGGGGCAGCCCACCCGCAGGAACCGTTTTTAATACTGCCGTCCCAACTGCACCAACAGGTTGGCTGCCAGCACGGGCATCGCCCTGCTGCCTGGGACCCTCTGCGGTTTAGTTCATCCCCGTGAATGTACTCAGGCTGGAGTGACTCCCCAGTGAGGCTTTGGCACAAGGAAGAATGACCTTGCACTACAAACGATCGCACTCCCCCATCTGTTTTGCTGAATTAATCTTTTCCAGCATGGGGAAAACTCCAATGATAAGTATGGAGCTAATATGCAGGTACTGGGCACCATTCCCAGGACTTCACATGTAATCCTCACAACTTAGATTCTGTGTTGGTTTGTTTGTTTAATTCTCACCTGTGGATATATTTTTATTGATTTTTTGGAGAGAGAAGAAGGAAGAAAGAGAGAGAAACATCAATCAATTGCCTTCTGGACATGTCTTGACCCCAAAAGGGGAATCAAACCTGCAACCTGGGTATGTGTCCAGACCAGGAATCGAACTTGCAACCTTTTTGGTGTACGGGATGAACTCCAACCAACTGAGCCACCCAGCCAAGGCTAGGTGCTGTTTTTATCCCCCGTTTATAGATGAGGAAACTGTGGCACAGAGAGGTTAAGTAACCTGCCCAAGGACACACAGCCAGCGAGTCGCAGGGATGGGATTTGAATCCAAGTAAGAAGCAAGACCTTACGAATGGGTACAACTATGATCCCATTGGGTACGCAAATAATAATTTAATTAAAAATTCATGGATATGCATGTAAGATAGCATGTTATAGACAGTGAACAAAGGTTAAAGGTTTGTGCAAGTGTTTGGGAAGGGCCAAATATCCTCAGAAGAGCCCCACATGCTGATACCCTCAGTGCCCAGCAAACTGTAGAAGAGAGTGGATACAAAGAGAAGAACAAAACAGAAGCCCTCTCTCCGATGGGATGGAACAGGGGGTGATGAAGGAGGGTCCAGACCAGTGCCTCTCAACCTTCCTAATGCCGCGACCCTTTAATCCAGTTCCTCTTGTTGTGGTGACCCCCAACCATAAAATGATTTTCGTTGCTACTTCATAACTGTAATTTTGCTACTGTTATGAATCGTCCTGTAAATATCTGATATGCTATATGTGCTTTCCGATGGTCGCGACCCACAGGTTGAGAACCGCTGGTCCAGACGCTTGAGCTCATGGCCAGGGAGAGAAGTTTCTCTGGGAGAATCCTGTCCCTGATCTTTGCCACATTCTGGATGGAGCTGCCCACAGACCAGGGGATTATTGGGAGGCTAAAACCCCGTAGGGAAACTGGAAAAATGTCTTTGTTCCAACTTCCTCATTCTATTTGACTCTTTTTAAGGTGTCACTATTTCCTCTTCCTAACCCACATAGGGATCCTGGGTTTTAATGGTTTCATCAATTGTTGTCATCGAAAACCTACTCTTAAGATTGTGGCATCGTTCTTACTAAAGTGTGAATGGCTGACCGTTAGGAAGAAAAGATTGCATTTCAGGTTATCATCTTAATGTCAGCTTGGCTTTTCAAATGAAGAGACCATGGGAAGATTCTAGATAAACATGATGTATGGAGGGGTGGGGGATTATAATTTTTGCTAAAATAATGGGTGGGACACAATGGTTTTTAAAAATGCCTCTGCCTATACTATTGAATGCAAAGCAAAAATGACATGGACTTTCATGTAAAAAGATGTCATCAAGGTCATTTGGGGGCAGGTTTTCCTCTTGGTCCACACTCCTGGGAAGGGGAGCCTACTCTGTTAATTCTGTGATGGAAAAATCTTGAGGAATAAAGCCTTAAATTATCGAAGTGGTTTGTTCAAATGGTGTTATCATCCAGCGGGTGATGAACTTATTTAAGCATGAACTGGGGCTCCTGGGGGCATTTCTCAAACTCAGAAGCCACCTGTATTCAATGCTTGCAGAAAGCCAACCTGTCTTGGAGCCCTCTCAGCCCAGCCAAGCATTCACTATAGGGAGTTCAATGGCGGACCCATCTCACACAGTCCAGGGTGTATTTGCATATGTGTACATGCTGTGTGCACATGTTCATGTATGATGGTATGTGTAGGTGTCTATGTGAATAGATGTGTGCATGAACATATGTATATGTTTGCATATGTGTGTGGTGTGCATTACATATGCACATGTGAATGAATGTGTGTACGTGTGTGAGTGAGCGTGTGTGAGTGTGTGTTCCTCAAAAAAAAAAAAAGCCTCAGAAAGATAGCATGAGTGTTTGGTTGGCCACCATATTTCACATTTTATGGCACCCTTGCTTTGGGAACACATGAGCCAATACATATAAAATCAGCTCTCAGCCTATGGCTTCCTGCTGTGGGTCAACAGAAACCCCGGATGAGAGAATATTTGAGAATTCCCTATGACAAAGTAGAAAGTTCATAAAAGACAAGGACCCCAAAACTGGGAGGACCCACCAACTTCCCCTTCATGCTTACTTTCAGGAAAGACTGCAGGAGAGGGGCAAACCTGGAGTGGACCCGAGACAGCCCCTCCTCACCTCAGAACTGCCCTGAGAGCGCAGATCTCTCAAAGGCCTCCATCCAAATCCCAGCCACCCCCCCCCCCGGGAGTCCTGCTCGAGTGGGGAATCCCCCTGGCCCTTTAGTTTCCTCCTCCGTGAGAAAGTGAGACCACCAACAACACCAGCCCTGTTAGCTAACTCACAGTGAGCATCAGCCTTCCATGCTTCATCTCATTTAATCCTAAGCACTGGTGAAGTAAGAACTATAATGGCCCATCTTATACAGGAGGAAACTGAAGCACAGGTGAGTCAAACCCTCTCCAGCCTCAGCACCCTCAGCTCTGAGAATCCCAGGATCACTCGGCATTTCCCGATTCCAGGTTTCTGGACCCCAGGGATCATGGTATTATTGTCAACATTTGGAAATTTCCATGCAAAGAACTCTAGTACCTAAAATGAGGTCTCAGGGGGTGCTCAAAACACTCAAGATTTTTGCTCTTGACTCTAGCCCATCAGCTCAGTGTGGTCTGTCCATGTTTGCCAGGAAGGTTATGTCTTTGAATATCATTGTGGACAATAACAATTAATCCTTTCCTGAACCCCCTAACCCAGTTTGCTGTGTACAGAGCACCCTGGGATTTCTCCCAACAAATCCGTAAGAGAGATAATATCATTCCCAGTCAGTAGAGGAAGAGACTGAGGTTCCCTGAGGCTCCAAGGCCCTGCGAGACCAGGAGGGGTAGCAGTGAAGATGAAACTTGGCCTGCCCAGCCGGTGTGGCTCAGTGGTTGAGCATTGACCTATAAACGAGGAGAACACGTTTCGATTCCTGATCAGGACAAATGACCAGGTTGTGGGCTCAGTCCTCAGTAGGGGGTGTGCAGGAGGCAGCTGATCAATGATTCTCTCTCATCATTGATGTCTCTATCTCTCTCTCCCTTTCCCTTCCTCTCTGATATCTATCTCTTTCTCTATCTCTATCTCTATCTCTATATCTATATCTATATCTACTTATATATAGATATAGAGATAGATATAGTTTTTTTTTTAAGAAAGAAACTGGACCTATCTGACTCCAGAACCTGCCCAAGCTACCAGGCCAGCATTTTTTCAAACCTGCCTGGTCAGAAGAATTACCAGGGCCTGGTGTACACTATGGATCGTGGTCTCACCCACTCCTAATGAGTCTGATGCAGAAACCCAGGGCCAAGAATCATGGTTTTCACACAAACGTCACT